GCTAAATGTAATGGTTGAACAAACTTTGAAAGGAACCTTTCATGAAAAGAAAGCAGGCCTTTGTCAATTGCATGTAAAATACCGGATAGCCTAACCCATTGGTAGGCGTTTAGTATACATGAAAATTGAACAATCAAGTGTTAGTACACTACATGTAATCGAGTGAGTGAAGTCTTTTTTTTTCATGTCATCTCAACATTTATTTCTACAATGTTGAGTAAATTTATTAAAGTATACAAAGGGCTAATATCCGACAGATAATGTGATAAACTACAAGAATAGTAATTGCAACACATTGAAAAGGGAAATTAAGGAGGCATGTTAAAGGGAAAGTACAACATTTGCAAACATCAAAAAATAAAACTACCAAATCATTTTGAAATACCTTGCTGGACTGTTAGTGAAGGACAGTGTAAAGCATCCTGTAAAATCATGGCACCTGGTATACTGTCATTTTCAAGAAAAGTGGTATTTTTGTATCAATTTCCAACGGCCGACCAGCGTTGGAAAAAACTGCCTTTTTTTCAAATACTGGCCCCAATTGACCATCACACTTGTTTGCAATCGATAACACCTATCAACGGGTACAAGCAAGCTAGACTGGTTCCCTGACCTTACAATTCCCCAATGTATGTGAACTGCTCTGTTTCTTTTTATATGGAGTCAGGGGAACCAGACTACAGGAAAATGATTGTTTTTCGTGGTTTTTATAGCATTTTCGAACCCAAAACCTCAAAAAAGTCAGTGTAACTTTATTTGCTATATATTTCCAACCCCCCAATTCCATCCATTTCTGAAAATTATAGCAAAAGCAAATGATGTATATTCCCTTTCAAAATAGTTTGTAAGTTCAAACGCCAGGTTCTTTTAGCTTATTACAGCTGGACAAAATAATGTGCAACTTGACGTGTTCTTGGACAAAGATACTTGTGACTTGACTTGTGTTTAGACCAAATGACTTGTGACTTGACTTGGACTTGCAAACAGTGACTTGTGACTTGACTTGGACTTGCAAAAATGACTTGCTTCCACCTCTGGTAAACATACCTTTACTTACTTACCTAGCGATTTACCCAGTAGTTGTGCAGAATTTGGAAATGATACACTGCATCGTGAGCCTTTGTGTTTTGACTATTGCGTTTCTATCAACTTGGTCTTTCAATTTCTTCATTCTGAACCTTGACAGACTGGAGATTTTGCCTTTTAAATGAGTCTGTAATCCATTTTCTGTAGTATTAGTTTTCGTCACAAGATGATAATGAACAAGGATATACATGTATATCGGGATCTATTCATGCCAAAAGAGTCAACGGTCCCGGGCTATATCACTTGAAAGTGTACTTTTAGATTTCTATTCAAAAATGAGGATTCAAATGTGCTTATTGTCTATGCTATTAGTGTCGATGCTATTTGTGAAGCATTATGTAATAATACCTCATATTCAATAATATACGGGCCATGTTGCCATACTCGGCGCAGTTTCTGAGGAATCGTCCACAACACTACTCCAGTTATTTTCTGCCGTTTAAATATTGACCATTTAACTAATAATTTCATAATTATGCACGCATCCGCATAAATGTGCCTGGTGGCAAAAAGCAAAAGCAGTCCGCGGTGTTAATATCTGCAGCACACATCATCAATGGATCATGATCCAAGTTCGATATTAATTCATACGAAAATAACAATCACGCCACACACATAACTATCACTCAGTCATGCATGTACATTAAAGTGTTTCGAAGAACGACTTTCGTCGAGCTGCCACAGTGGCCTAGTGGATATTGGAATGACTAACGAATTACCAAAGAAGAACGAATACAACACGAAAGGGTTATACACTCAAATTCGTCTATTATTAGTGCGTTCTGAGAGCCATGGGATTAGAGAATTGAAGAGATATGGCAATGCACCTCTGGCCCCGGACTTGGGGCTTCCAATTCCGAGCATTTTGGATGCAATGGGGCCCGAAAGTGACGCTAATTAGCCATGATGTAGAGGGGTTGTTTGTCAAGATGGCTACTTTTCCGCTTTGGGAAACATCAGTCGCTTTAGGGATGGTCTTCTTTGGGTGAGAATTTCTCCAAAAAGTAACTGGTTAACCCGCCAGAAAATGAAAGATGACATGTTGATCACCATTTTTTGTGTGCAGCTTGAATACCTGTGAAAGTTCTGAGTATTTTAAAAATATTTTTGAAGTATGGGGATTTGTCCATTTTTTTTTGTGGTTTCTGCCCTGACCACATGGTAGGTCGGATTGGGCTAAAAATTGGTGTGCATTCATTGCTCATCAGGACCTACAATCCAACAATTTGTATCAAAATCGGAAGATATGAGGTAGAAAAGTGCGTTGGTCTGACATGGAATGACCAAATATACTTTTTGATGGAAAATGACTGACATTGGTCAATTCGTTCAGAAAATTTCTTCATTTAAGCATAATCAACCCCTTTCTCGTCAAAAAAAAATGCGATTCCAAGAATCGTCGTCGCAATTGTCTGCAAACATCACCAGCGACAACATCTCAGTTTAAATGTTAGAAATATTCGACAGAATCCCTTTGAAGGCCGGTATTTATTAGAATTTGCCTATAACCCGGGCTGTATTATGTGCTACAGATGGTGACAGTTGTATAAATTTTATAAATTTATTTATATTGTAGCCTACTATCAGTGGCGTACGCAGGATTTTTTCAACGGGGGTGTTAAAAAATTGGATGTCATCATTTATGACGCTAGAAATGAAGATGGTAAATTGTGTTGGCGCCAGAAATAAAAGAGGGTATATTTGGACTAGTTAAACTCGAAGGGCCGGGAACCCACGACCATCAGTTATCTTTTTGAGCTAAAGAATAGTAAATCGGGGGGAAAAAACATGTTCTGTGTCTTTAGAGTATATGATGAACATATGAGTAAAGGGGTCAATGTGGGCAGTCCCCTCCCTCAACAGCATTTAAACAAAAAAAGAAAGAAGAAATTCAAGAAAAAAAGTGACACGGGCCGCGGAAGTGCTAGGATCTGTTCTTGTCATTGGCTAAAATTACTCAGCTTCGTCCCCTGGATCTCATGATTCTCATCCGTTTGGAATCTTTGTGTAAACCGCCCTACCCCTAAGGCCAAACTTCAGATACAGTATAAACACATGCGCTCCGGTCACAGGGGAGGATTCAGACTGGCATTTGCCGGGGGGGGCCTAGAATTGTAATGAAGGGTCTATGACCTGCGAGCGCGCAGCGCGAAGCCCTTACGGCGTGGGGTCCGGGGCCCGCTGAAGGGCCCCGAAAAAATTGGATTTTAGATGCTCTGTGGTGCAATCTGAGGCGATTCCTGGTCACTTCCACCGTTTAGAAAACGTTCTAAACATCGAAAATCCCATTTAAATTTGTTATTTTTTTGTTCTTTATCAAGTTTGTTATGTACTCAAAGTTAAGCTCCATGTTCCATCTCCGTATTTTTTCACAATTTTCTATTTTGGAAAGGGATTTAGGCCACTTGTAGAGCCATTCGCTGCTGAAGGTACAAATAAAGTGGGGGCACCGCTAGGGTGAAATTAGAGCATAGAGGGAATTTGGCCGGAGGACTAATGCGAGCGCGAAGCACTTACGGCGTGGGGTTCGGGGCCTGCTTAAGGGCCCCGGGAAATTTTGGATCATAGATGCTATGTGGTGCAATCTAAGGCGTTTCCTGGCCACTTTCCCCTGATTTTTTTAGCAGAATTTTTTTAAATTACGAGGGGATATTTTGTTTCATTTGTTTCAAATACATATAGGCCTATATACTCTTGCTCTTATAAAGTGTCTTCTGTATTCAAAGCTTCAAGTTGAGAACATGCACATCATTTGTAATTGTTCCGCGCTCGGTAACATACCTCTCTTTTCCCTCCATATTTTTACATGACAAAGGGGGGTGTTTAACAGCCAAAACACCCCCCCCCCCTGCGTACGCGCCTGCCTACTATGGATGCCAGGTTAAGGATGATGTGCCCACATTTTCACTAAAGCTTGTCATTAAAGGGGACAATCAATTGATGAAAACGTGAAAGTTTCGAGTAATTAAAGTACTTGTGTGCCATTTCTAAAAGTGTCTTGGATAGGTCCTCGATGTGTCTGTTGTCATTTTGCTGAAGGTTACTCGAGCCACCAATAACAACGTGTATTTGATGCTGACCCAATCATCTATCATATCGCGCAGAGTGTGGAGTTACCTACTCAATTTAGGGAAATCCTGGTTTCAAAAGTTCACAAACAAGTGCAAGTGTACAAACCATGTAAGTCGATCTCGCTAATAACATAAATGACCCCGTTATTTGTAAACGTTATCGCTTACCAGGTTTCATAAACTTGCCGTGTTAAGTTCGCCTTCTTATATTCCTTTCCCTATATCCCGATTTATTTGTATGCACATGCTGGCTAGTTCGAAAACAATAGGCAATATAGAGGGCGCCCCTGAAAGACAAATTTTTGGGATGAGAATAATATAAAAATGCCTCCACTAGTGTGAGAGCGAGATTGAGAAGAGTTAGCCTATAAGTTGTTGTTAAGAAAGAGTTGGCATTTATTTTATTTCTTAATGTGCGAAGCATGTTCAATTAGCGCAAATAAGGTTCATGTAATGAAAGTGTTTGTTATGTGTATCATATGCCTATTGTGTTACCAAAAGCGTTGATAAGTCCGTGTCAATATGTTGGAACGAAACAATACCTTATCATAAACAGGTCACGTAGACTTCTCGGTTTCGGGAAGTCCCTACGAATATTTTAAATATTAAGTTCACCTACTTCGCCGATCAATCAACGAAAGACAACATAAGTCGGCTTATTGGTTGTACATTGGATTTAATATCACTATTAATGCTACTTTTCTTTCTGTTTTCCGTAATCACATGACACTGTATCCCGGTGTATCCTCCAACGGCCTATCAAAAGTTCAATAGTTAGTTTAGTGATGATACTTCTAGGATATATAAGACAGAGGGTAACTGGGGTTGAACTTATACGGAGAGATGGCGTCGAAAACGGTTGTACTGCTCATTGCGTTCGCTGTAGCATGGTTTCCACACGGTGAGTTCAAGTTTCCTTTCATCATTTGAGTTGTGTTGCTCAGTTACTTGCACCATGTCAGGGTTTGCATTGTATCTTGTGCAATGACAAAGAATATGAAAAAGTGGCATAGCCTATTGTGAATTGATGTAGATATAGTTGAACCGTTTCAATACGAGAAATGGTTCAGTGTTCGTGAAGTCTAAATAATAACTTTTCTTTGCGTAGTCGCCTTGTAAATTTCTTTTAATATCAAAGTGACTTGCCGGACAAATTGCTGTTCAAGATGTTTGGAAACATGCACATGTACAGATTCAATGCAAGATGCTGTTTTTGCCCAGAGTGTTGGGAATGTTGATTTCTATTGCTACCCAGGAGTTGTACTTTTATTTAACGACAGTTAAATAGAGTTTCGCAGAATATTCTGTCCCCCTGGACAGCTTCCCTTCGGAGACAGTGTCCCCCTTTGGTATACAGGATGACCCAAACAAAATGCAAGCCTAAAACATTTGCCTTTTTTTGGTATCAGATTAAAGCTGAAGAACTTGTCTTTTAATATTTGAAAAACAAAATCATGAAAATAGTACTTTGGCTTGCTGAATAAATGCCAATTATGTAAAAGTAGTCAGTATTCAAAAAGAAAAAAAAATCCACAGTAATGAATTTTCACTGTACATATATGTTTGCATGTCCTAATCCTTACAAACAACCCGGCGCATTATATGTCAAGAGTACAAATGCATTTGATAGAAATACTTTTTATTTTCCACCTGAACAGGTATCTCATCCTTTGTAGTCCTATTTTATATTTTATTTATGTCAAAATACTGAAACAAAATGTACACATTGAGGATAATTGTACAGTGGGCTTATACAGTAAAATGTTTAACTGTTTGGAGTACCTGTGTACAGGAAGAACAATGACTAATTTTACATAGTGGGCATGTTCTCAGTAACCCAAAAGTGCTATTTTCATGTTTTTTCTTCAGTATTTGAAAGAAAACAATGTCTCAGCTTTAATCGGATACCCCCAAAAACATCAAAATCCACCCATCTTTTTGTAAAGAAAAATGTGTTAGGGTTGCATTTGGGGGGGGGGGGGTGGCGGGGGGTTACCCTGTATATTGTGTCCTCTACTTCATGGAAGAATTTGTCCCCCAGAAAATTTTGTATTTCCAGTCAGTTTTCCCTAGGAGATAGTGTCCCCTTTAGGATATTCCGTGCCTTATACCAACGGAGAATTTCTCTTTCCCGGATATGCTGTCCACCCCTAACAGTTTCCAAGATAAAATGATATCCCCTATCTACAGGTCTTGGTGACCACACCCCCCCCCCGGCCTTGGGCCACAACAGTAGCCAAATTATGTAGAAAAAGTGAGACACGCCTTCTGACATCCTCGTTAAGAAGTAAGCCTCTTTGATCCCTCCTTCAGCTGGCTAGGGAAGTATTTCTTGTGTTATTTTTTCGCTGGCAATAAAGCCAGAGTCCATCATTTGCAGCCATCCGAAAAGTAACAGGCGTAATTATTGTTGAAAAAAACATACTTGGTTGAAAGATAGTAAGGGGACTAAACTACTTGTGAAATTATTCTTTCTGGCAAGCTGTCATGTTGAAGTTATCAACGAAAGAAGGCCTTTCCGTCTTAAGAGGCACCGTAGGAAAATTTAAATTATTAGTTCGTTTTGTTATTTGGCGAAGCGCGCGCAAGCATTGGCGCGACGCACACGCGCGTGCGGTTTGCTATAATTCGTCGGATCAGTGCGCGACATCGCGTATAGCTGCAATTCAAAACAGTTCAAAACATGATTCAGCAACTTTTGATTTGAAATTGAGATCCTAGAATGCTGTTTTTCTCGGAATATACAGCTGAAGCTGAGCTGAAACTTCATCAGGTTAGTTGTTCAGTATCCTTCATTAGATTTGAACACTTTTGTTGCCTTAAACGAACAAAATGCACAAATAACAAATGATGGACAATATCTTTAAAGCCAATTGATGACATATCTTCGAAAATATTACAAAAACATTGAAAAACACATGCACATGTCAAATTCTGGCATTACGTATAGCGAGTAGCGGGCAAGTTTTTTTTCCGTTGAAGGGGGCTCGGACGTGTACAGTGATCACGTGTCTGAATTCGTGTATACAGGGCGTCCTGGATAATGGTGCATGTAAACTCCTCCACTTTTGCTAATTTACAACCAAAACTGTCTGCAGATGTTTACACCATCTTCAAGGTAATTGAATTAGCTTGAGAATACCGTTTGTTCCATTGAGATCGCTTTTGTAAATCCAAAGATATGTGTGAATAAAGGCAAAGCCAAGAAACCCATTTTGTGCTACTTTTTTGAAGCAGTTAAAATCAGTATAGCCCTAGTCTAAAACCAAATCACTTTTCTGTTAGTGATTTTAACCATTTTTAAACAGAGTGTGCAATATTTATTTATATTTTATTGAACTCTTTCACTGAAGTTTTAAAGAAGTAAACCTGTCTATACTATTAAATTGTTTCAACATAAGAACACAACCCTATATTGTCGTGTGAATGGAATGTTTGTCTTATCCCATAGGGATAATCTTATCAAAAGAGCCATACTGACATTGTCTGATCTTTGAAGCACTGGCACCATTTTTTTGGCTTCGCGGTTATTTAAACATATCGCTGGATTTACAAAATCAATCTTTATTAAACAAGCGGTATTCTCAAGCTTAATCTGTAACCTTGAAGATCAGGTAAACATTTGCAGTAAATTCCGGTTGAAAATTGGCGAAAATGGCGGGGTTGAAATGCACCATTATTTTCAGGACACCCTGTTTTTTATGTAACCAACAAATGGATGTAAAACCTTTTACCTTCTTATGTTCTTTTGTTATGCCACGCTGGTGAAGCGAAATGGGCATACTATGTTTGCTTTGTCCTTTTTCGTGTGTTTCTGCACCCATACAAATAATATAGGACATTATGGTCCACAATAAATGACCGGAGGTCCACTTTGTATGTGCGTACACAACACAAATGAGAGAACGAACAGAAAGAGGGACAATGGGGGTCTACGATTAAACGTGTTTACACCACTTGTGTGCAGATAACTCCTTTTTTTATGAGAAACTGGTGCTTTCCTTCTTTTGTTCCCTTTTGTTTGTACTGTAACCTGATTCGACAGGTCCAATCATGTTTGTACACCAATTCTCCCAAAGACCTTGGCCCAGGTCTTCGGGCCCATTGAAATAGCCCCCACCCCTTTGTCCCAAGTCCTCAGTCTAAATGGATAACCAACCCACAGATGCGGGCCGTCACCAAGTAAAGGGAAAGTTTTCTATTGTTAGGACCGAATTATTTGGACTGTCTTCGTCCACAAAATTTCCAAAATAAAAATGGTGGCCGTGGTCACTACAGGAAAGTGATAAGTTAACTTTGGCTACTCCAGTCTAGTGGTTGCGGAGGGCGATTTCTAAAGGTAACGTAGCACTTTATTTTGAATGAAACTACATGTACACAGACATGTTCACACAGGCGGACGAAATCTTTGAAAATTAATATCTCCGGTTTGGAAGACCGTATCTTCATGCAACTTCCAGGATTTTTTTTCAAAATTAAAAATTACTGTGATAATTTTCATTACTTTTCGTTGAAATTGGAAAAATAGGCCTGGCTACGTGCATTTTTGAAAGTTGTAACACTGACATTTGCAATATCTGTCAACCTTTTCAAGCTTCACGAATATAAATAAGAATCCTATCCATTATAGTGTGCAGTTAAAAAAAGTTGAGAAAAGTCTCCTTCACGAGTTTTTAATTAATAAATGTCACCCTTTTGCCGGCTTCCATTGGTCGATACCGAGACCCGAACCAAAAAACACGCTGATTGACGCTAATGAATATGCTAATCTACAATACGTTATTGTGTGGCTTGGCCGCAATCGGTCAACCGTAGCGCTTAAGGCGCTTTGCTGAACAACGCACGTGGGTTGGGTCGCAGAAAAGTCTCCTCAACATTTTCCATAGAGATGGTTCAAAGTGTAGTAATGGCGTTTGCAACAACAGATTAAGCTGAAGTCTGGCATATGCTTAGATGATATAAGTGTTCAACTATTCCTGAAATAACAATTTTGAGAAATTACTAAAAATTGATATCATTACAGAGATTTCTGGAAGTTTTCGAGCGTTTTTTTTTCCAGACTTGAAGTTTAGCTATACCAGTAACTGACATGAAGTTCAGAATTTCTTCTTCTGTTATAAGTTAACATTTCAATCATACTGAGCATAGGCCTATTTTCTGAGAAACACAACGTTCAAAAGGCCATGTTTTTTTGTGGTGCATGAAGACCAACGCCACCCCACCTTGTATTCCATTACAATGTGTACCTCATTTCGCAACTCCTATTCAGAGGCAAAATGTTGATGTTGCAAATAGTCTAGATCGATTGCTCGTGGTCCAAATATAAATATACCAAATTTAGGGGTCATTAAAGGTTTTTTTTTGGGGGGGGGTGCACAATCCTATGAGAATTTAAGGTACCGTTTCCCGCTATAAGTATTACCGTTGAATTTACGGGAAATCCGTTTTGAGATTACGGTCACCGTCATAGTTTGGAAACCCATTTTTGACTTGCTGTAATTTTACGGATTTTTCTTTTTGTTGGCAACCTGTTTGACACCTTAAAATTACGGGCAAATGTTTTAACAGCGTATAGTGTTGTCACTTTTTTCTGACACTGTCAATCTTCCTCTTAGTTAATTGTTACAAACGTTCTAAATTAATAGAGTTAAAACTTTCTTTGCCCGTCCAGAAGCTCTTGGGCGCCTGTGCACCTTCGAGTCGGGAATATGCGATTGGACACAGTCAACGGCCGATAACTACGACTGGAGTAGACATCGCGGATCAACTTCTACGTCCTACACAGGACCCTATTATGATAAAACCTATAGAAGTAAGTTCTTAGTCACAACCGAGTGACTTAATTTGTAATCACTAAACAAAATCTTTCTTAAAATACAATGTATAACCATATGACTGACAATTTACAATCATAAATTTGCCCAGAATACTATTTTGAGTCAAATGGAACAAATGTTGGCTGATAGTATGTAGTCTGTGTTTGTGTATTATTGGAGATAGGTAATGTCTTTGTGTTGATGTTGGTTTGGTGACGGTGTTTGGTGTTGGTTCGATGTTGTCAGTGTTGGTGGATATAATGTTGGACGTTTTTGATTGGGGTTTGTATAGTGTTATTCAATTTATAAACAGGATTTTGGCGACATATGCTTTTAATTGTGTAGTTTTTTTCCACTGACCTCATAATCACCGACGCATATATTTGGAGAGTGCACCAATTTTGTTCAAAAGTAACCCTAATGGCCCTTACATTATGTATAGCTTCTTGTGAGATTTGATTTGATTTTTTACAGACAGCAATGGCTATTACCTCTACCTTGAGTCATCCAGCGGCTGGCAAGGTTCAAATGCTGTGCTTCTCAGCCCCATATTTCTTCACAAGAACGGTCGCCAAACTGTGTGCGTGCACTTTTGGTACAACATGTACGGAAGCTACATGGGTAAATATGAAGCCGTGGGCTAGGCCTTGGGATCCCAGTGCAACCCCCTTACCAACCGCCACGGGTATTTGCTTAATCCTTGACATATCCCCAATAGCAATAAAAAATGCTAACACTGAAAAAAATGTAGACATGTACTATCTTAGGAAGCCACTTATTGGAACCCCCTTCTGATTAAGCTTATATGCGCTTTCCGGATTCAGCAGAAGGGTTTTAACTCATTCAAAAGTTGTTTAATTTTCAATTTACGTAACTATCAAATTAGTAGGCAGTAGTTGGATAATCATAAATTAGGTGCTATTTTAGGACAGTTCCGTCCATTCCAAATTCCCAATAGAATTCATGTGTATCTATCACTTCAGGTACTCTAAAGGTGAAACGCATTCCAACCAGTGGGAATTTGGGGCAAGAGACAGTCCTGCGTTCATGGACTGGCCAACAAACGGACTCGAGAACCTGGTTGGAAATGGAACTGTGCACCAGCGACTCGACGTCAAATTTCAGGCTCGCATTTGAGGCAGTAAGGGGAAATGGCGGTCGGTCGGACATGGCCATCGACGATGTGGAAATAATTGGTACGTTTACAAAACATTTCACCTCTCCCGTGTTTCGGTTCAAAACGAACAAAAAAAATCACACTAATGTGGCTTTGAAACACAGGATCTTAGTACGTAGCTGTGAGGACCACACCCCTGTTGGGTGACAGTTGTTATGGGGACAGCAGAATGTCCCCATAACTGGGTTCTAGCTTTCCTGCAAATAAGAAAAACCAAATCGCCATAATGTGTTGCCAAACAGGGCACACATTTACGCTGTGCTTCGTCACATTGTAGTTATTCTGTGAATTTAGTGTATCCACACTTAACTGGAATTATTCATAGTGAGATTTGAGCCAGGTGGACACAATGTGCTCACGAGGTTCACCCCGAGAATCACAGGCTAAAAGAACTACGATTATACATTAGCAGTTATTCCTCATTTTGTTTACTGCAGTGCTACCGGCAACAATCACATTGTCAGATCCTACTGGCTCGCTACCCTCGACCGACGCCGTGTCCTACCTGGTACAGGGTGTTGAGTCGCAGTTTACGTGCCGGGTAACAGACATCGACCCGGGAGCGTCGTTCACCTGGTCTCTCGGCGGTAGGGAACTAACGTTCGCCCGCAGCGAGAATGGCACCGTGTCCGGTGGATTGATAACCAGCACTAGTTCTCTCACACTGTCCCCAACCTGGAGCAACCACGGCGAGTTGCTGCAGTGCTCGGCCAGCAATAAGCATAACCATCCTGGGCTGAACATCACCGCAACGCTTGATATTAAAGGTAATGATTAAAGTGAAAAAAATCCCACACAAATTCTTTATAAACAACATGTACCTGAGTAAATCTTGCCGGTCATATCACATACAAGCAAGAATCATGAAAAAACTACACTAAAGACAACATTGAAACATTAAAGGGTGGTAACAGTTATCATTATTTGCTGAAACATGATTTTAAAGTCAGTGGAACATAATTACTGTGGTTGAAATTAACCACCACACAAAATAAAGGGTATTTCAAACCCCAGTACTTGGATGAAACGCCAGAAATGTTTGAATTAGGCTTACGGTCGGACATTCTGCGGCTACTCTAAAATCGGGGAAGTTGGAGTGTCAAGCTACCGACATTTTGTTTTTCATTTTACAGTTTATTCGTTAGAGAGAAGCAATGACTCGGAGTTCTTATGTTTTGAGACTTTACGGACGTTCGAGTTCAAAGCTGGAGGCCAATACCACAAGCCAAATTAAAGGCCTGTTTTTCAAAGTTTAACCATATTTTGGTCGTTGATTTGTTCAGTTCCACCGACAGTGATAACTTTGTATGAGTCAACCGACAACATCACCGCAACCAACGGGACGTCGTTTCTGATCGAGGGAGTGGAGCGTGAGTTCATCTGCGAAGTACCTGGGGCTCGTCCCGCTGCATCGATCACTTGGATATTAGGAAGTCGAAATATCACGGCAAACGAGAGTACGGATGTCGTGGGAGCCGACGGTCTGACCACCAGCATGAGTACTGTGAGACTGTCCCCTACTTGGAACCATCACGGAGAGCTACTGCAGTGCTCTGCTTCAAACATCGATGACTGGCCCGCAGTGAACGCCAGCGTGACACTTGATGTTAAAGGTATGGATAATAACAGAACATCACAACGTAAACTTGTTCTTCCGATGTCGAAAGTGATTTCTAGTTTCAGTGTTTAAATTAAGGTGGTTCAACTACACATTAAACGAACTATTGACGAAAAATGGAGGATGAGTTGTTTCCTGTCATGCACTCCTAAAAGTCCAAGGTCAGACTTGAAACAGAATTGGACTGATCTGGTCAGGAATTGGCCTGCCGCGGTAGAATCGCGTTTAGAATCGCGTCAACGCAGCTCGTGAAATATTGTCCAATTACAGGATATACAAATAGACGCAGAACGCGCAGCATCTGAGACAAACAAAACGTAGCGTAAAAGAAAAATCCATAGGGTTGTCGAAGGGGCGCGGCCAACTCGCATACAACGATAGGTCAATTATTGTTTCGGGGTGTGAACAATCTTGCATTTGTAGTTTCAATTACTGGTGAAGAGGCCGTTGTCCAAGGAAGGGTGCAGATTCCGCCGGTCCTTGGTCTAGAAAGTCATCTAATCGCTTTAAGTCGTGAAGGTGAATCGTCACGCTCTTACTTTGAAACCAAGAATGAACAAATAAAATGAAGGCCAGTAATGATAAAAAAAAGACGAACAAGCGTGTTCACTACATGGAATCGCCTTCCAAGATCACACTGTTGTTCAACCTTTCCTTCTAATAGTACTGCCAACATCTTCAGCAATGTCCTTGTATGATGGCACCGGGACCAGACTAGGCCAAACTTTGGATGTTGACCAAGGCGCATCAAGCAACATCAGATGCGAAGTACAGGGTACCAGACCGGCTGTGACTTTCAGATGGATCTTGAATGGCACGCTGCAACAAACTACCCACCCACATCCGGTGGAAGCCGATGTGGGATTGGTCAACAGTTCCGACACTTGGACATTCACTCCCAGCAGAGCCAATCACAGACAGGAGGTGATCTGTGCTGCGATCACAGCAGAGACGCAGGAGCCCATCCCAGAAAAGGCTGTCACATTGGACGTCATTGGTACGTATCACATTTGGTAACATGCCTAAAATGAAGAACCCAGGAATTTCCGAGCATACCTCACGCGCTGAATTATTTCCAATGCACGCACCAGAGGTATATACGCAGATCGAAAGGCAGATCAGAATTTCGAAATTTCTTCGGGATTATCTGATTGTTTGTTTGATCCCACCCCTGCTGATTGGACCGACTACAATCACAATCCAGTTTTGGGTCAACACTACTAGTGGGGCAGATATGAGAAATAATTGGGGGAATTGTGCCTTTGATGATACAAGCATGACATTTGGCACACAGTCAGAATATGTGTGGAGAAAGGTATTTGGCTATAGGGCCATTGCAGATTTGTTCTTAGAAAAAAAATAGGTAGAACAACAAACAATTTTCAAAAAAAAAAAAATTTCAACCAATCTTTTTTTTTTTTTTGGTTCAAATGACAAATCTGCGATGGCCCTATATCATTTTTTCTCATGACATACTCTGACGGTGTGCCCAATGACATGCTTGTGTAAAGGCACAATCCCGCCACCGATATAACGTACTATATCGGGTTGTGACACTTTTGCCCTGGCTAGCATCACTCACCTATTCTTTGGTTTTGTTTTCTAGGCCCGCCAGACAAACCTGTCGTCACCGGTGACAAGACAATGGAAGAAGGTCTAGCCACCGCTCTGACCTGCCGTGCCGACAACGGGTTCCCGGACGACTGGAGTTTGCACTGGTCCTATGGGCATGTGCACGACATAGCCAACATCACAACTGAACCGCTACCTTCAGGCAATCGATTCATGTTTACTGGCGTGATCAACATCACTCCGAAGAGGAACGACAATGGGAAGACCATGACATGCACTGCGCGGATAAAGTCGTGTACTCAACATCACACCGGTGCGTTCGGTCCTCTCAATGTGCAGTGTAGGTATTGCAGTAGACCCATCGAGCTATTCTAAATTAAAACTTCCCATCCACAGATTCTGCATCTTTATTGGACGAGAGCGTTCCAAAGGGCAAGCCCATGGTCTTTTTTGCAATAATCCTCAAACGTTGGCCACAAAATATTTCTCACTTTAGGTCACTGGAAAAGTCTGTCGTCAACAAGGGCGGATCCGGGGGGGGGGGGGGGGGGGGCCAAAGGGGGCCATGCCCCCCCCCCAAAAAAAAAACGAAACCAATTTATTGTTTTTTTATGTGACATCGCAATAAAGGCAGGCAATGAGTACACCACCATCTTTTCCTCAAAAAACATTGGTTAAAGTGGTCAGAAATTGCCTCAGATCGCACCACAGAGCATCTAGAATCCAAATTTTTTTCGGGGCCCTTAAGCGGGCACCGAACCCCACGCCGTAATTTTTTTGACCCACTTTTTTGGGGAACCAAAATTTTTTTTGGCCTCCCCCAAAAACTGTGTTCTGGATCCGCCCTTGGTCGTCAAGATTTGAAGATTATGGGCAACAATCATGTCCAACACATAATATTCATACGAGATCGTTTTGTGGAAGCATTTGCTTTGACAATACGGTTTTCATCATTTTTTTTTTTACTGGACTCCAATCAGAGCCAATCGTGCTATGAGTTGTTCTCAGTGCTCAAAATTATACGGTGTTTTGATACAATTCCTTCAAAGTTGTTGTAGAAGGATAATTTGAGTATAACTACGCTTTAACTGCGCTGTTCAGTTTGTCCTAGGAGGGTACACATCACGGACTGCGCACTGACAGCTGTGCCAGGCATCAACGCGTCATTCAGTTGTTTCTCTGAGAGTAGCAATCCGGAGTCCGATCTGATGTGGTTGAGAAACGACGAGGAGCAGGTCAATCCAGCAGAGTCAGAAATAACAAGTGGCGACTACGGTGGCCGAGTGACGACGCTGAACTTCACGACAGGTGTAATGACCGAAGAGGACGACGGGGCTGTGTACAGGTGCTGCGCGAAAGGAAACGCACTCTGCCCTCGTGTGTGTGACGCTTGTCTGATGAACGTGGCATGTAAGTGTTGGAACATTTCTTAGCCAATGGGAGCTTGTACTCAGTGGTGCGTGCGCATGTATGACGAAGTCACTAACAAACCTGATTGGTGGAAGGAGCCCGAGTTGCGCGCGTACTGCCTGATCGTGACTAGAGCGAGCCGGGTGCCACCGCAGAAAATGGCTGTCGCCAAATTAGTTTGTATCAAGGAAAGGCTGTTTGTCTGGGAGCCTCTCCCATGTGTGCCCATTTAAACGTGATGATAGAAATTGTCTTCATGTTTTCAATCGGTCGTTTGAGTTTTGCTGTTTGAGAAGTTTTATTGTTTGAGGTAGCGGTACAAACAGCAGCTATTGTTTCTCCTATGGATTACAAGTTTGTGGGTGTATGTTTCGGCTCTAATGACATTTAGAGCAGTTACCTTATATAACTGACAGGTTTCTATAAAGATTGTACTTTTCTTTTTTCTTCTTCGGTCCACCTATCAGATGTGAAATCGAACGACCCAGGGCTTTCAGCCGGCGTAGGGATCACCACTATCGTATCAGTAGTCAGCATTGTGGTCATTGTCGCTGGGGTTGTGTACTACCGAAGGTCAACCACCAAACGTAGACAAGGTAAATTGGAAATTGGCCATAAAAACGATCCGAAATACGCGTAGAAAGTCTTCGTTTCAGAATGAAATGGACTGAAGTAGACTAGGGGTATGCCCATGCTTCATTGGCCACACAACAAAATTGTTGACGGCCCCCCCATAGACCTTTCTACGCTTGGTTGGCAAGCTGCATTTTTGCCAACCACAGGTTGCAAAACTATAGAAGGTCTAACACTGCAAAAATGAAGAAGAGTTACTACATATAACCAAAATATTATTTGATTGTTGGAAATACAATATTGTCAACAAAGCTACAAGTAATTGCCATACATGCCTTTTTACTTTGTATTTACCCAATTGAGGGCGATATGGGAACTTTTTTGGAAAAATATGTTGCCAACCACGGCTTCAGTTTATGCGCTTGCGGCAGCCCATACAACATTGCGCCAATGTTTACAAACAAAAGAATAGTAGCAACTGCAGAGTGCAACAGCGAGGAGAAAAGACTATAATACATACAAATCATATACTCCACAGATTTCATACCAGATACACGAGGATCTAACGCGGTGCAAATGTTCGTATTTCATTATGTGATAAGTGTATTTTTGCAGATATTTTTTTGTTGGTGTTATTTTGGTATTATCAGACCAGTGATGCCATGTCCCATTTTAAAAGTTATGACATGTATTGAAACACCGTGTTGATAACTACTTATTAATGAAATCTGCCTTTTGCCTTTTTTTTCAGAATGCAAACCTGCGAAACACACAGGGTAAGTGCAGCAAATCTACTTGCTTGTTTATACAAATTGCCAACTCGACATCTGGCTTGCAAAGAGGCCTTTCTTTTGATATTTCCGCAACATATATATTTTTTAATTTCAGTTCGATGAATCGTGACAACACAAGTGAGTCCGTGTATGTTTCAAGCTCGATAAAAAGCAATCCCTTCAAATATGTTCTTGTATTTATATATCAGGCGTGAAACTGGTAATAGTGATGAGGAACGATACGCCGCCGTGCAAGATGAGAAAAACACTGGTAAGTACACAGACTCCGTTGATTATAGTGAAGTTTCGACTCCTAACGGATACGCTTTGTTGCCGCATGGAGAAATAAAATGGTTGTCGGAACAGTTTCTAATCCAAAAGGGCAGCGTCCGATGAAACCTCGTAGCAGCAGCTAATCCTAGTTAGAAACACAAACAAAAATTGGCCCATGTAACGTTCAATACGTCATCCTTAATTAATCAAATCATATATTTAATACATTAACAATGAAACGGGTAAAAAACGACAATCATACACCTAAGACAGTTTACCCATTCCTATTGGTCGAGACGCCCGCCACGTGGCCGGTCTTAATTGGATTATAAAGCCCTGGTGGCTGGTCTTAAACACTTTTCCAGTGTCACCTGAAATTTTGACTCCTATGTTATGAAATCCGGTGTTTTGACAGTTTTATTGGTTTAACGTTCACATTCCTCAACTAGGCATGCGCAATACTACCAGTGACTCAGTATTTCATTATTTCATAGTTTTGAATTCACAACACACCGGCAGAGCTGCGTTCTGCGCCACTTCGCGCAGTACCGCGCGCCAATCTACAAATAAGGAGTTTTTTACAACTTTTTGCGACCGGAATATTCCATAACATAGCTAGAGGGGTGTTTCGGAAAACATGAAGTAAAATTGTTGAACAAAACCGTTGGAAATTTATCATTATTGACTTGTTTTGACTTTTGGACCGAAAGGTTTTGATTTTTTTGACCGGGTAATGATCACCCATCCAGACTCCAACCGGTCTCAAACATAGTGTTTAAAACCGGTTAAACACACATTTAGTCTCTTAATTTACCATGCGCTTCACAAGCGTTTGAGAAGTAGCGATGGCGCTCACCGTATCCGTTCGCTTGTAAACCACATGCAAGTGTCTATTTTGAGGCACGCATCTTACGTATCATTATCTTGCATGCCACCCCGTTTATACATTTCCTACAAGATATAAGTATTAAATTATTTCTTTGTTCCCAGGTATTTGCATGCAGATGGTGACCTCAGCTGAAGGTGAATAGGCCGAGCTCGGACCACGTGGTCTGTCGCGCAAGAACACATGAACAGCGGTTGGTTTTTTTTTTTAAGTTTATTTGAGCATTATGGGAGACAAAAACTTCAAGAGCATAACGGATATTTCTCTCTTTTTTTCTTTAAATTGTTTGTACTTTCGACATGTTCATGATAGGAGCATGACCATGTTTTAAATGATTTGATCAAAACCAACATACTCAAAATTATAGACGCAAGGCTAAGTGATTGTATTTCCAAAGCATTTCCAAGAGAAGCTGTCAAAATTTTACATGATATCTCTAGGCCTATTTGAAATACCTTGATTTGTACTAGTCGAGATAAAATGACTGAAGTAACATGCCACTTGAATGTTTCTGAGTATAATTATATTATAATATCATAGTTGCTAATATATGTAGTTTCTCGGAAATCTAGTTTACTCAGAACCGCTTTGAAGTTCGCCACTTGCGTCGGTTTTCGATCATACGTTGATTTCCAATCATAGGTCGATTTTTAATCATGGCAACATTGCAGGACAGGCCATTTAAAGGGAATATACAACATTTGCAAACATCGAACAATAAAACTATCAAGTTTTTACAAAATACCTTACTAGGATGTTGGTAAATGACAGTCTAAAGCATCCTGTAAAATTATGGCACCTGGTGTCGAGTCATTTTCAAGAAAATGGTATTTTTTGTACACATTTCCAACGGTGGTCGGCCGACCAACGTTGGAAAAACCTAACTAAACAAAAACTATTTGTTTTCTATTGGTTACATGTTCATGAACGGGTGCAGGCCAGCTAGACTGGTTCCGTTACCTTACTATTTTCCGACACCTGTACATTGATCCATTTTATCTTTAGTGGAGTCAGGGAACCAGACTACTTCAAAAATTTAGTTTTTCTTGGATTTTCAAGCATTTTCGAACACAAAACTTCAAACATGTCAGTTGAACAATATTTGATCTATCATACTAACCCCTCAAATAGTTCATTTCTGAAAATTATAGCAAAAGCCAATGATGTGCATTCCCTTTAATAACCAATTATTGTGACCGAGCATTTCGTGTTATGTTCGGATGATTTAACGAAAAATTTACTCAGATTATCATTCTTAGATCGATAATAATCATAACAGAGCTATCTTTGTCGTCTCTTTATGGTAATAATAATAATGATAATACATTGTAATATGTACACGTGAATATTACCCTGGATTGGACATATTTTGGGAGACATCCCCATAAACTTGTGCTTTTCAGGAGCTGTTCTACAACAAAATACCTTTCCAATCGCGTGCATATTTCTGGAGTTATGGGCAATTGAAAATAATCGCCGCTCTTCATTTTGTTAACATGCAGTGACTGATATTTTGACTGCCGCAATAAGAACACGGGCCAAAACTTGCATCCGTTAAAAGGCTATCAAGTAGAGGGCAGAGACAGAGCAGCACAGTAAACATCTAAAACGTTAACCAAACAGTCCTTTGCTGGACTACCATTACTTACAAAAGGATAAATGACCATTGTTGCCCCCCCCCCCCAAAAAAAAAGAACCAAATAAAGAAAGAAAGATAAAAACATTAAAGAAAGCAAAACTATCCTCACCCCAAATCCATCACATACCTGACAATTGAGGCTGTGGATAGATTGAAAAATTGGCGCTCATTTTGAATTGGCCATAACTCAATTAATATTTACCCTATTGGAAATAATTTGTTTGTTGTTGAAAAGCTAATGATCTATTGCTAAAGAACCAGATTATCCAAATATGTATTGATATTTGCGATGCATTTCTTTTTTAAGCATTTTTTTTTTATGAGGTGCTACCCGTATAACCAAACGTATGTTTCAAACTGAACTATTTTAGACAATGAACTGTTTAATTCCAGCTCTAGAGCACTGTATTTTTTTGGAGTTAATGCAAATATACTATTTCATTGCGGATTACACAACTGTTAACACAACGTGATATTGTGGTCAAGTAATAAGAACTTTCAGCACACTATTTTGTTCTGCAATGTCTCTATATCTACTAAAATTATGGGTGGGAAAATATCGACTATTTGTTTGAACGTACGACACAGGAAAATAACAAAGATACGCCTGGGTGACATTTTCACCTTTCAAAAATTACTGTACAATTGTGATTACTCATTTAGCCCAAGGTCTCTGCATGAAGCATGGTATCCCTGCATGTTCTCTACAATTCGTTTATCATAATGGAATGTATTTTGATGGAATTTTAGGCCAAAAAATAGTCGGTCTCTGGTCAGCGCGCGCGTCGATTTTAATCATGCGCGTCAATCTTCTTCTTTTTTCAAAATGTCCCGCGGTAGCTCCAACAGCGCCCTCTATTGCTGCCCCTCCTCAATTTTTTGTACGAAAGAGCACGAAGGAATGGGAAATTGCACCAAGGCATATGATCGAGGGCACCAAGGCAGGACACCAATGTACATAAGGACACCCAAAAAAGCAAAATTGTACCCCACCTTGTTTGTACCATCCAAGCTTGAGAAAAAGAAAAAAAGCTGCGTCGCCGCATCAATTCCGGAACTTTGGTCTGACCAGAGACCGAATATTTTTTTTTTTAGAATTAACTTAATTTCTTTGATAATCAGCGTGATATCTGACTGTTATTATATTCAAGAAATTGGGTTCATGATCGCTGAAATATACTGTTCCAATAATATTCCGCTCCAAAGAAAACCATTCTGGGTAACACATCAGTATTGTTTATGTTGATTTAAGTACGTACATATTAATCAGAACGCATGCTGCATAGTAACATTTAAGGAAGCTATTGGAATTTTAGAGGCCAATATACATGTAGTATATACCCAGTTACATTTCTTTTAAATTGACATCCGTATCATTTTACAACTTTAAACCTAAAGACTTATAAACACCGGATTAACTAGATGATGTATTTTTGAAGTATTATTGGGGGAGGGGGACGTTGCACAGTGAAGCTTAATTTACACCAGGTGAAACAAAATGTATTTTAAATGTATAACTAAAGACAAATACATATTTTATTGTTAAGAACTTTTTTGGCATTTTAATTGTTTGTCATCTTGTAACATTCTAATACAAGATAAATACGGAATAAATACGCAGAGTGCATGGAATGTAACCTTTTAGTAGTTGTCAGTGCGTATGTTAAGTCTTGATTTTTTTGTTTACCGGTTCTATTGCAAACCCCAGGCTTATCTTAAAACTAGTATTTTCTTATGAGACACAATAATTTTGTTCTATATTTTCATCAATTATGATTTTTTTTTATTTCTAAACAACATTAAATCGTGGAATTTAACCAACTAAGAGAAACGTGGGACAAACTCGGCTTTTCAATAAGTCAACCTACCCCCCCCCCCGCCCCATCCCATCCCGAACCCGACCCCAACAAAATATTACCAACCAAGTCCGTGACCTCAAACTGTTTGGATTTTACTCATTCCACAACAAGATGTACATTTTGGCCCATTAGGATTTAAAGTTTTTATGCATGGAAGAAAATTATCTATGCAATTTACAACATCCCCCTCTCAAAACGAAATCCTCTTAAATAAAAAGGGGACGTCTACTTCTCATTCGAAGAGGCTCATATGCATTTAAGAAAAACTGCCGGACCCTGCCGGAGTCTACTGATGACGTACCTAGTGGTACAAAAACTCCAACGTACACACCTCTCGTTAAATAATATTTTTGTTCTCGCCAGCCCCCCCCTTCCCCCCCCCCTCCCCCAAGGCTCCTTCCCCCTCCCCTCTTCCCCAGGCTCGCCAATCCATGATTGATGTGGTGCCCTCTGTTGACCCATTAAGATGTGCAACCTAAGCAATTCAAGGAAGTGCAGTCACGTTTGTTTCTAGCAAGCAAAATGCCGGAAACGATTTGTGTTGTTCAATATGGACAGCGGGGGCGGAACGATTTTCAAACTGGGGGGGGGGGGATCACCAAAAAGGGACATTTGCCTTCCGTCGCAGAAATGTCGACACGTTGCTATCACCGGACACTTTGCCTGCGTAAAATCCAAAAGTGTGTGTGTGTGTGTGTGTAGGGGGGGGGGGGATTGGTACCATCTTCGATCAAGGGGGGGGGGGAGATTCAAAACCTGTCATTATGCAAACTACGAAATATCTGCCCATTTCCAGGGCGCATTGTTAAGGGTTTTGGGGCTTAGTTTACATATTCCTCGTTCATATCAGAAATCTTTACGCCAATTTGGGGAAATGGTTACCGAAAACAAATTATCCGAAATTTTAGGTCCAGTTGTGTTTTCATCTCGAGGGGGAACATTTTTGCTCCAGGGGGCACATTTATGTCCGCAAGAAGGGCACTCGCGTAAATCGGGGGGGGGGGGCATGTCTTTCAAGCAAAACTGCTGGCGTGCAGTTGTTTACAATTATTGCAAACAGTCTAGAGATAGATCTTGGTTTTTTTGGTTTTGTTTCTGAAACAGACGGAAAACAATGAACAGCTTCCAATTTATAATAAAACGTGTCAATTGTAAGAAAAATAGAAAGAACTGGGCTACGGCGTTTGTTGAGTTACAAACGCAAGGGTGATCTGGCAGCAAATGATTTGTTTGGACATCGCCCTTTTGCATTGTAAATACTTTCATGTCTGGAAATAAATTCACTAAATTCAGTGAAATCAAAGATGTTTTAATTTCAAAATAAAAATGCATCATTTTGGTATTTGATAGATTTTATTGTACGTGTTATTTACACGCACACGTTACCTTTGGTTTGATGAAATTATTAGTTAAAATGTGCAGAGTACCACAAACTGAATATTTATTAAGTTCCGGCAGCATACATATTCATCATGACGTTAAAATAAATACTTAAAGTACAAAAATTACAATGAACTTATCAGTATTTGTACTAATATCACCTAACTTCTGGTTTTATAATGACATCATAGAATCAAGTAGCTACATTTTCACACTGTTGGTCATCGTGATATCGTTATCTGTACCACGAACACCGCCAATGGACACAAATCAAAATAATGACCGATTTTACTTGTAAAACAGAAAACTGTTTACTTTCAAATTCTCCTTACAATAACGTTTTGATGACGTCATGATCCTGAAAATTTGAAAAGTCATTTGCGGTTGTCCAAAGAAGAGCTGTGAGCAATTTGAGAGAAAACATGAGGAATTGTTTGTAAATTAAATAAAAACCTTGAATGCCTTTGCCGTAATCATGCTTTCATTTGGCTCTGACATCCCTCACTAAACACATCCCTAATGTATTTAATTGTATTTTAATGCTTCCTCATCTAGTTATATTCAATTCTCTTTGCACTTCCGGTACACCCGGAAGTAAAGGTCGAGCTGTTTTGTACCCGACAATAAGAAATGTGTCCAAAGGCATTATGTACCACTCTACGAAAACAGACCACGGTACTGACTCAATTCAGTTCACAATATATAGTTAAGAATTGTTTGTCAAATTCAGACCTTAAATAATTTTGCTTGTACTCCGACATACGTTAACGTCATGAGGACGTCACCACATGTCCACATCTTCGGGCTAGGGTTCGTGTTCATACTGGATTGCATCCTCTCCATAAATGGTTTTCCTTTTGATTTTAATGGCACTATGATATCAGACGCCTGCTGGGAATCAATCCATGACACCATGTAATTTGAGCTACCCGGCCCTCAAAGTCTACCCTTCACCCCAGATTAACCCCTGGTATCCCTCAGGCCCTATAAACAGTCAATAAAACCAGACACTAATCTCCTCAATGCCATTTGACAGTTCCATTTTGGTCACAGGGTTGATCGAGGTAATCCCTATATGAACAATGCATTTGTACACAAGCCTATGTAAATGCGCACAAGCACACTAGGTTTTCCCGCCAATTTCCAACCCCTCAAGTAGGATCACAAGACTAACACCCCCTCTAGTGGATGTACCATGGTCCATACTAGGATCTAGTGATAGATGACCTGGGCATGGCTACCACGTGGCTGGGACAATAAAAAACAAAGAAATGTGGAAGTAATTTTATTCGCACTGACTCCCGCTAAGGTTTTAAGGGTTTTGTTTGCATTTTGAATTCACTTAACTTTGACCTTCCGGTTACCAGGAAGAAAATGTCAGGCGACTTTTTTTTCGGAAATCCAAAATGTTAATCTATCGGATCCATAACAGGATTATAACACAGTGGCTCACCCAGGATCTGGCTAGGGGACTGACACTTTTTTTAACACTTTGTAGAAGTTTAAAAAACATTTCAAAACATTTTGCCCAAAATTGTTGGCCGCAGAAAAAAAACGATTTTTGTTTTTTTGTTTTTTTTGTTTTTTGTTTTTTGGGAGGCGGACTATTTTGACGTTGGTGGCGCCACTTACACCCCTATTAGACCACTCGAAAATAAGCCACTTGTACATCGCCAAAGTACAAATCGTGGGACTAAAAAAAATATTATCAATAAAAATGACAAGGGGGGGGGGGGGGGCTCAAGCCCCGCGAGCCCCCCTCGGGTGTGCCACTGATTATACAATGTACAGTATAGAAGGACAGCCGCCCAGAAATATTGTCCAGAAAAATGTTTTAAAAATATATAAATATAAACATGCATTTCAAACATAGTGTAGCATGTACGCATGTACATTTGCTGACATACGGACACGTACACATCTGGACCTCATACGGACCGCGATGTAAACAGACAATACATGGCCTAGTTCGCTCAAGGACTATAGTTGACCAATAGTTAACTAACGTTTGTCCGAACTCTGTCTAGTCGACGGTGGTTGACCAGGCTAGTCGACTATTTGGAACCAGCCTACTGGGGTTGGTTGCGTCGCTGGTAACCAATAGCTGCGCGCATTCATAACGCTAGCAGAGAGCCAGAATCCAGAAGTTTTGCAATGACATTTTGACCAGCGTTTGACTATATAGAGACGTTCACACGTTGCTATCAGTGCACAGGCGTAAGGTACGTCACAAATCAACCACTAGTTGACTAATGGTCTTTGCCCGAACTTGGCCTATGCTGACTTTTATAAGTTTCTTTACGAAACGCTATGGGATAGCGTATTAACAAATGACGAACCCAAGCCTTGCTTTAGTCCTTGAAGTATGACGTCAGCATAATTAATATGAAGATATGAATATATTTCTAGAAAAGGAGATTAGTGGTTAACATGCATATGTTTATGAAGGCGAGTATTTTGTAAGGAATGTGGGCGCCCTTGCGACTACATTTTTCTGGTACAAAATGTAATTATGAAAATTACTTTATTCTTAACATTACAAACGGCAGTGGAATCACCGCAGGATAGCAAGCTTTTGCTTGCATTTTTTTTCGTTACTGAGAGTTTAATCACTTGACCAAAAAAAGGTTTTCCTGTAATGGAATATATTGTGTCCTCTTTCTTTCCCGACTATTTATTTGATTTACAGTTACCCAATAACACTGATAGCTGCGTGTCATTTATGTTGGAACGACCCAACTCTTTATCGTAATCAACATGGAGCGAGGACTTCCCCGGCTCCGGAAAATCCGTGTTTTCAGAAAGCCACAAACACTAAGTGCACATGGTAGACGAATATATGTGTCCTGTATTGCTTGATTATTGGTTTTGATTTCATTTGGAATGTTTTATTTTCTCTTCGATTTCCGCTTTCACATGTCATTGTATCCTGCTTCGTTCTATCCTTCACGGGGCTATCAAATGTTCAATCGCTCCGTGACAAAACACAACCCAGATATATAAGGTAGAGGATGTAATACGTGGGTATCACTCAAACGGAGAGATGGCGTCGAAAGTACACGTGCTGTGCCTTGCATTCGCTGTGGCGTGTTTTCCATACAGTAAGTAGACCTTCCTTTGTTTTAATTGGGTAATTCCTAAACGTACACAAGATGTAGGCCCTGTGATGAATGCATACCATGCTACTAAAGACTGCACTCACACGAATTTGTACTGATAATCATGTGTTGTTGATTTTTCTCATTTACTCGTTAATGGATAGCCTGGATATTTATGATAATTTTGACTTCTGATTTTTTTTCTTCTGAATCCCCAATTGTTTTTGTTTTTGTTTTTTGAAAGAACATACAATACCGTGACGTGAAAATCATATTTGGTTTTAGGGCGTGCCAGCGGACGGCCTTATCGCATACAGAACAGAAATTTAAAAAATCTAAACGGCTCTACTGGGGTTGGGAACTTGACAAAAAAGTTTAAATAGGATTAAAGGAAAAAAGGTTGCAGGAATCATAAAACGTAATTAAAGTTGTGTTTTCTGTGCTTCTTTCGAGTTTAGCCTTGAAAAATGTTCAATTTGTATTTTCTGAGCCATATAACAGTTATTCACTTTTGAATTTTTTATTACAAAATTCGAATTATTGGCTGCCAGACAATAATTCGGCTCTCGCAAGGCGGTTTCAGTTGTGCGAAATATGAAAGCCGTTGTTTTAAGGGTTGCAGACGCCCAAACGAAAAAGGTGGGTTGTTTTCCCTTGAAACAAAATATCATACTCCTATGATTCTACACATTAAAAGGAAATGAAATTCAGGCGCGTTTAAAATCCATGTTTTTTTCTAAATTGTGTGTTTGTCGACCCGTTAAAAATAACAAGTTAAATTCGACGCGATTTCTGTATTCAATAATGAATTCGCATGGAACCCTTTCACACGCAAACAAGAAGATAAATGTGTGACATGATTTTGGCTATTTGATTTTTTTTTCAACTTAAAAAACCCTTCCAGATTGACTTATTTGGCCTTTGTCCAAGTACACCATGTTAAATGAACATTTCTGTCCACAGTATCCGAATACCAACGTCTTGAAATCAGGTGTGAATGTTAAGACATAGGTTTATTCGGTTACACATAACACTTGTACCATGCAGATTTGACACATGAATAGTTTAATTTCGTTCCACAATATCGTTCGAATTGTGCATCACGAGGACGTTCCCGTATAATAATGTTATTGAAACGGACATCTATATTAACCAAATCTGCATTCTGCCACTAGACCTCGTTTTGGTTGTCTATGCATTTTTGTTTTAACACGCAAGGCATGAGTGTATCGCTAGAATTGTTCAGCACCTTTTGGCTAATATACACGCACTTTAAATGATAGCACTGATCACGGTCATTACACTGTTCCCATTCGAATGCAATCCTCTGGGTGAAGACAAACGGCTGAAGAGCATGACTCTATTACATTTGGGTTGTCACTGTCTGCATGATCAGGAGTCATGGAAGGTGCGGTGGGTTCTGTTGCAAGCAATTAGATGCCAAGTAATTGGAGACGAATATTAACTTCACTTGCAGCTTCAGAAATACTTGACAATGCATCGAGTGCATTGTGTTTGGACCCGTCCCGGTAGATAACATGAAAGTGGAACTCTTGGAGACAAAGCACCTAGCGGGCTAGACGACTGGTTACTCTCTAAATGCAAAAGAGTGAAAACGTCACTCTCTCGCCCGAGTGTTAACGCATGAACTATATTTTGAGTGGAATTCGCTCTGATTCAAGTGACGAAATGCTACAAAGTCATCTAAGGGTAATGACTCTTTATCGAGTGAGCCACTCTACCACTCAATATTTGGAGTGATTCGATGACCACTCCTTTTTGAGTGAGCAAAGTTAACCGACTGAACCATTCATTCTTCGCGTCACTCTGCCGCGGCCAGGAAATTGACGCAAAAACAAATTTCACTCTTTTTTGAGTGTGTTTTATTCCTGCAATGACTACCACCCGACTTTTGAAGCGACTGTTTACCGAAAACAGCCAATCACTGACCCGATGACTTTTAGATTGAGCCAATCATGTGTGTCCAAACGTACTTAGCGTACATACCTTGCGCGCGTAATGTATTCACTGAACAAAAAAATTCAACGGCCGTGTTACAACTGGTAATGTAGTAACCAACGGATAACTATCACCAACCGATAATGTATCACAAATTGACCGATATTGTATCACTAACCGATAATGTAGCAAAAATGTACTGATAATGTAACTACAAAATAACTGTATCCGATAATGTATCACCACGGAACGTATACTGTATCAACCGATAAAGTATCAAAAAATCAATCGATAATGTATAAGTATGGGGAAAAGGTGTACACAAATGTTCGTTTTATGTCCTGTATATCCCGCCCCACTTTTTGACCGGGGAGGGGGGTCTGGACTATTGGATCCCCCCCCCCTTATTTCGTATTTAGAGAAAAGGGCAGATTTTGAGGTATTTAAAAAAAATTCCAACCACCGAAATGTATCAAGTAGTACTGAGAAAGGGAGAAAGAGTACACAAAGCTTGAAATGCGCTAATACATCTGTATCATGAACAGGGCCCCCAGTGTCATGTGGTCTCCAGGAAGCCCCCCCCCCCCCTCAGTTTTTGATTATACCATGGAGCTATGGGCTTCGTGCACACATGCCGCTTCAACGGCCAGAAACGGAGAGTTGGGGGAGGACCTAGACTGGTTCCCGGTCCATCCACTGCGTATTTTGAATGATGCAAAGTTATTGGGGGAGGGAATAGTCTGGGAGACCATTGCAAGTTAAATTGAACGTATGCGCGCGCCGACGTTGCTTGACGATCATGCGAAGACGCTGCGGCTAATAGCCTTGGCACATTCTGGAAGTGGTGTGGAACTTTGCGCGCGAACCAGTACAGTACAGTACGCGCAAATGCTGTGTCCCGTCCATTGATCTCCATACGTTCGCTCGTACCCCTGCCCTGCAAACAGGACGCTGGGATACTCTGATGAGCTTCACCATATCTTGTGAAGGAAGTGGCCTATGGCCTATGTATAAAGCACTGGCTGCAGCTGTTTAAGACCGCAGTTAGCCAATGTCCGCAAATGCTATCCGAAAACTTCCCATTGAAATGCACTCGTTCCATACCGGCGGAATGTGATTTCTTTGTCCTTGCGGACCATGTGGACAAAATTCTGAGCGTCGCATTATGCCATCCAACCGTTCGTGATTCGAAACGGAACCTGTGACGGGAATTATAAATTTACAACACAGATTAGTTTTACAGAACTTCCTACATTATTACGCTTTTTAATGAAAAAAATCTCTAAACTGTAACAAAAGAGTAATGAATCAGTCTTAACGGCCTTTTCAAACCTTGCAGAGTCATGACCTTGATGACGCGGAGGTCACTGGTCACACAAAATCCAACCAATCAGAGCGTGAATTCATCAGAGTATTACAGCGTCCTGTTTGCAGGGTAGGGGGGGGGGTACGAGCGAACTCCATATGGAGATCAGTGGTCCCGTACGTCCATGGTGCTCTCAAAAGTGGTAAATCGCGCCTTCTTGGTTGGAGCACGGAGCCCATACGGAGGCCAAGTGTCCGGAGAATAGAACTTGTCCACATTTCGGCGCAGATGTGCGAGTGCGGTGACCCCCCCCCCCCCCCCACCCGACATCAAAAGCTGGATGCGCCACTAGCCTAGGCCCCCTCAGAAGTAGAGCGTCTCCAAACCAGAGCAACTCCCTCCCAAATTAAAAAAAAAATCTTAATGATAAACTATCCCGAGTGGGGACGCATTATAGTAAAGGCACTTATTAGACTTTAATTAATTTACAATATTTCCACCTTTTCCAAATATACTGATACATTATCGGTTGATTTTTGATACATTATCAGTTGATACAGTATCCGTTCCGAGGCGATACATTATCGGATACAGTTATTTTGTAGTTACATTATCCGTCGACACGTGATACATTATCGGATACAAATTGTACTACACTATCAGTCAATTTTTGCTACATTATCGGTTAGTGATACAATATCGGTCAATTTGTGATACATTATCGGTTGGTGATACAGTATCGGTTGGTTACTACATTATCAGTTGTAACAGGCCGTCATTGTTATAGTGCATACACGTACGTTGCGTTAACGCGCGCATACGATATGGCCGGATATCGCGTTGTCGTTTTGACAGCACAGCTAACCTCAGGCTAAGCCTGATGACAATAGCCACCGTTTTCGGCGGCCTACTTGCTGTTGAAGACAAAATCCGAGGGGCATTTGACGACCCGGAACAAGCAGAGAAAATCGAAAGGATATTCAACGGTAAGGTTGAGATCATTCATCGTAATTTCCGCGGGTAGGCACTGGGACTTACAAGTTTCGTTAGGAAGGTACCGGTAGGCACAGCACAAACATGGACAGTGCACGGTCGCGGCCAGACTTGCCAGGCTAGGCCGGCAGTAGCCCAGGTTGGACTCCTCTCAAGTGTGGAAATAACGAACATTTCCTCAAACTTGCTGTTCGAAACTGCGTTTCGAAACAGCCACCGGAGCGCTTGGTGGTCAGTTACCACATGGCCTTCTGGATAACAGTCATATGGTTGCGAAGGCGAAGTTGTCAAGCAAACTAATCTGATTACGTACTTAGACGCTATTATACAGAGCAGTGAAATTCGTGAACCCAAAAAACACGGCCTTTTGAACGTTATGTTTCTCAGAAAATATGCTCAGTATGATTGAAACGTTAAATAATAACGGGAGAAGAATTTCTAAACTTTATGTCAATGAAAAAAAATCGCCGTCATCGATGCCGAAACGTCAATACTGGTTACCGGTACAGCTGACCTTCAAGTCTTGAAGAAATCTTCGAAATCTTCGAATCTACTCAAGTTGTTATTTCACGAGTAGTTGAACACCTAGATCATCTACATTACGTTCATTTTGAATTTCAGCTTAATTTGTTGTTGCAAACGCTAGTGTTACACATTGAACCATCTTCAAGGAAAATTTCGACAAGTGTTTTTTTTTCCGACCCAACCCACGTGCATTGTTCAGCAAAGCGCCGTAGGCGCTACG